ATCCAAAATATAGCTTTTCAGCGACAAATTTAATATTTCTGACTTTTGCTCCAGTTTTGCATTCTTACTCGAACGCTAATTTCCTTTGACTGTCTTTTTCAGTTTCTCGTAAATTTTTCCTTTTTATCTGATTTCGCTTCTTTCCCAATAAGAAATGTGAAATCAGATATGTACGCCACGGTAGTGATGCAGTCATTCTCGTTGGAGTTCGTCTGCTTGTTTCACTTTCTTATCCCTTCCACAAATGCATTGCATTTGTTGCTTTACAAATACGTTCAGGGGCAGTATGGAACGTGAAGCGTCACTTTATATATCATAATACGTAAACTCATATGTGTTATACGTTTATGTCATGAATGCCAGAAAATACGGCACTTTCATTTTCACTCACATTACACAGTATCGTGCTGAAGCCTCTGTTTTACCACATGTGCTACAGGATATGTTGGATATAGCGTATGAATTGTTGGGATCCGAAGTACATGTGAATTGGCCTCTTCTTCAAAAAGCACTGGTATACGAGCTGTGGACCGATAAAAATAAGTGTGTTTTGATTGTTGTAAGAAACATTCAACGGAATTTGTGTTAAAAGCGGTTAAAATAAGGTATAATTTTTCATCAGGGAGAAGGGGGAACGGAATGCGAATAGGGAGGAGGCTGGTTGATGTGAATTCAGTTCAGGCTGGAGGGAGGTGCAGAACTGCCGCAGTCTGCAGTAAAATTCTGCATCTTTGTTACCAGTAATTGAGGGTTGCTTCTTTTCAAGTAGTTATTGGTCTCAAGGATTTGGTTGCATGTCTCAGCTTTGCTTCTATTAATTACTACTCGTTTTACACGTCCATCTGCTGCATTGAGTCCTGTTATTTTTCGGTTTTCGTGCATTTATACCCTTGCTCATTAGCATGTTATTCATTTTCGCAGAATGTAGCTCTTATCATTTTAACGCAAATACCGTCAGCTATGCAGTAATAGTGCTGCAAGGGACATGCAGCTATGTGCAAAATATAAATGCATGTTGTCCGTGGGAAATGACGTAAACTAAATGAAAATCATTGGCGACGCGCACTGGGGGGCCCCGTGCGATCATGCGTTTTTGCAGTGTTTCGTACTGTAATGAGATTACTCGAAATTCCGATAGCTAGAAACCTCTTCTGCATACTGGTCCTCGAATTCGGGAACTTAATTGTTCATGTTATAGTTGGAAAGGGAACATTCCTTTGAAATCTCAGGTTCCCAGCTTTCTTAGTTCCCGAGTTACCCAAATTGCAACCAAAAAATTCCACGAGGCCCTGCATAGCCACCACGCATAACGGGGGGCTGAATTTGATAAATTCAAGTTGTAGATGAGTTGGGGACATTTCCTGAAAATTTCAGCCTCCCAGCTTTCTTGGCTCCCGAGCTAGCGATTTTCGCGCTAGGAACCCTCAAGGGGCCGTACGCGGGAACCACGAACCCCCGGGGGCTGAATTTGAAACCTTTAAGTTCTATAGGGGCGGGGAACATAGCCGCAAAATTTCAATTTTCTAGCTTCTCTGGTTGCCGGGTTAGCTGTTTTCCCGCCAAAACTTTAACCCCCTCGTACGCGGGCCTAGATGTGCTTGAAGGTTGGTACCGCGGTCCTGGAGTGACACTTGGGTGGGGAATCCACTGGCAAAATTTCGGCGCCGGAGCTTGCTTGGGTGCCGAGTTGAAATATCCGGACGGACGCACACACACACATACACACGCACACACACACCGGGGTCGTCACAATATGCGTTTTTGCATTTGCATATTATGCAAAAACGCATAAAAATGGGCTTTAAGGGCTTTCAGCACTTCAGCCGGATCAACTGCGGCAGATAAACAGTGACGAGGGTGAGGAGCTGCTGGGAATCGTAGATACTAGAGGGGATTGTCGCGACCTTAAAATTGGAACTTAGACTAGTGTGCGTGCTCTGTGTGTGTGTTCATAACCGAAAACCTGCGAGAGGTCTATAGATTTGCAATTATACTACCCAACAGCCTTGTATAGACTAGTTATACAAAAGAAATTAAAGCAGGAAGGGAAGAGAATATCGCGAAGCTGTAGAGAGCCGAAGCTCGCGGCTTTCCAGAGCTTCGCGATATCCTTCTCTTCCCTTCCTATACCACAAATTTGGCAAAAGGACATAACACTGGATTCTGGAGGCGGGGATGACTGCTTTTTTACTCGGATGACTACGGATCAAAGGCTTGCGTAACTCTGAAGAAGGTAAAGTGTCCAAAGGTTAGATGTGGGACCAGAGTTGTTGCTTCATAATGACGCAATGGCTTTTTACGAAAAAAAGTAATACTCATTACTTGATGGAATCTAGGTTTTCGAAAGCATGTATAGGTTGCTGTTAAAGAAATGAATTCATAAGCAATCTACTCCAGAAAATCAGTAGAATATCGTGGAATGTCCTCGCATGCGCAGACGCAATGGCGAGCTAAACATTTTGTAACTTGAAGGGATGGTAAATCGATTTTGGTTAGCAGAAGGACTGTCGCAGAAAATCAATAAACTTTGCGGACTGAAGTTCGATAATAGTGCGGAAGACTTACATATGATGAGGTTGATAGTTAGTTGGTAATCGATGATGACGAGTGTTAACTGATGAACTTAATGATAAGATTTTATAATGAGTGCTTCATTTGGCACTTTTATTTACTAATTTGTCTCGAATATGAATCTCGGTTCGCTTTGGTTCTCTATTTGCCAAGTGCCTGATTACTTCAGGCTTTCTGAACGAAGTGCATGAACCTTGATACCCATTGCCACGTTCTA